TTGCAGATCGCATCCAGAGCTACAGATATTCCACAGTGCTTTTCTGCCTCGTTCAAGTATAATAAAAGTAGAAATCTATAGAAGCTCTAAGGTTAAACAAACTGTACATCATACAAAAATTAACTTAATTTATAGACAGTCAAGGAGTATTGGCAATGCCCTTTATAAATCTTACCAAAGATTCATCACAAAGGATATTACAATCTACATATGTGGTCATCACCATACAAATGCCATTTAGATTTATGTGGTAGAACTGAATATCTGTTACATGTACACATGTAAAATCAGCATTTTGCACTATATACATTTCTTTTAAAGTAATAGTATTGTCAATACTAACCTAAGGTTCAGGATTTCCTTATTGCATATTTATTGTTGCTGAGGCAGTTAGTTATGATACAATAATGCAATATCCATAATTACTTTAAATAAACAAAAACATTTCTCCTGCCAACAATATAAAGGATTTTTTTTCTAAAATCACATAGAACATTGCTACATACAATTTTACACAAATACTGAAAAACATGACCTTAAGGCATCTGCTAGAAAAGCAGATGTGCATATTTATATAAACTAAATTATGCAGGAAAAATATTGCACAAAATCCTATTATTTTCAAAATAAAATGTGCATCTTTCTAAATACACATAATTCCCTATCATGACCAAATGAAAATGCGAAGCGGTTTGCTCAAAAATAATTCTGCCTCTTAAGTAAGCTTTAAGAAACAGACATGAACAAAGTACTGGGCGCGACACAGGAAAGATGTGAGTACTGACAGAGACTCTGTGAAAGCTATTTCCTTATAAGAAGTGCTTTGGGGGATGAGATTTGGGTATTCATTTTACTTTCTGAAACTTACATTCTCATTTACAAATATCTACCCAGAATCAGGGTCTGTTCCGCTAAACAAAATGGCATTTGCATTAGAAAATTTATTCATGAAAATAATCTTTTCCTGAAAATCCAGATTTTCTGCATGAGAAGGGAGATCTAGTGCTGATTATGAGAACATTCACAGTTTTCTCCTCTTGATCATGAGTCTACTTCACGATATTTAAGAAACAACTAATTCATGAACATTCCTGAATTCTACCATCAGGATCTTAGCACAGAATCCTAACAACAGCACTGACACAGTTTTAATTCAAGAGGCAGGGACAGCAGAGACCGTTTCTAGAGAATGCTATTATCAAGATAAAGACAGTAAAAATTAGTTTCCATCAACATGCACCCACACCCTCAGTTAGCCCTAAGGTTAAGTAAAGTGGCCCTCAGTATTGCAAAGAAGCATCATTCCATTATAGAGCCCTGTGCTGCCTGGTGAAAGGATTGAGCATAGTGGTGACAGACAATCAGATAAACAAGGACATTTAGTTTCTAAGAGCCTCTAAGTCTGTCCTTTAGAAATAGATATCTTAAAATAGCAGCATTATTATACTTCATTATAATAATAAAGTTAATGAAATTGGAAACAGTACTGTGGTTCTGTACTTAGAGCACTTTCTGATTAAGCAGCCTTAAAAGACTTTTTTGATGTTAGAATCTTGGGCTAATAACTTCTAAGCAAAATATATTATTATTATTATTATTATTATTATTATTAATGAGATTTATAATTTCTTTTCCTTTTAAATTCAAATGTTTTAATTGGTTCCTTCAGAGCAGAGACTAGGTTAATTATTTTATTTCCTAAAATCCTCAGCTACTGTACCTTGCACACGACTGATAAAAGTCAATAAATACTTCCTAAGTGATGAGTTATCCATTTTTAATCAGGAAAATAATCCTGCTATATTTTGGTGCCTCCCTAAAATATGCTAAAGTGGGTAACCATCAAAATCTGCCACTTAACAACATACTGACTTAACAAAACGACAGCTTCTAAATTCACACACTACTCTTCCATCCCCTCCTGAAACACCACAAATGCAATATTTAAGGGCAAAGAGGATAAAAGCCATGGTGGGATTCAGGGAGAATTATGATGGTTTAGAGGCCATATGAAAGACTATTTACCAAAGCCAAACGTCCTATTCATTTATACAACTCTGTTGTGGAACAGATGTAGCTTGGAAAAAAAAAAAATTCAAATAGCAGGGGAGTTCACAAATATTTCATTTAGTTATAATAGAAAATATAAGCATAGCAGAAAATAAGATAATACTTTTGTTTATTTCAGAATTCATGTTCACTTCACTTCACTCTCCCTACATCCACCGCAGCACTGGAAAGTCTAGTTTAAGAGAAGACTTTGAATACTCAAAATGTTAGTGATTTGAAATACTAATACTTTCAGATTAGTAGTCTCTTGGATACTAGTCTTTTGGATTCTTTCCAAGAACAACATGTACAGATTTTGTTTTTGCTGTTGTTTTTTTTTTAACACAGAATATAAAAGCTGACTTTGCATGTTAAAATAAGGCACAAATCCAGTTTAAAATACCTTCATGCAAACTTGCTTGTGAGTGGCTAAATACCCTCACAACGCAGTTTTGTAGTCAAACATCTCATGAGGGGACTGGACGACAGAAGAACTTACATTTCTGAAGCCATGATGTCTATTAAGCAAATGGACTAAAACCCCAGCTTTACCTATGCTAACACTCACAATATTCCCATTCCCATGCCTCATTTGAACAGTCGTGTTAAAAAAGGCTTTTTCTTTTCAAAAATTATGAAGAAATATTTGCCAAGCAGATTCACAACCAGAATGACCTTTTTTTCCTTCTCATTTAAAATAGCTCTTCTGATAAGTTGACTTCTTTTACTATACGCTTCAACAAAGTAAAACGGAATTTTGTAATTATATAAAGGCAAAATTTGACAAGAACCTTGAGTCTTGCTTTTGTCTTAATAAGGATTAAACACTTTTTTCCTTAATGTATACGGAGTCCATCCTTGTAAGGAAAATAAGACTTGTCTTCCTTTATAAACATGAATGAATAATTGTCCTCAGTAAAACATATCCACTTAAGATTTTGGGATGTAGTTGTAAAAAGAAAAAAACTTGGTCAATTCTTTAAATTATTTAAAGACTGACCTGAATAAATATTTTTAAGCAATGTTTTTAACAACACCCCTTCCAAGATTCCTTTTTTAACTCGCAAGTAAATTCTTTCAGCAAATGTTCTAGGGTACAGTCCTGACGAGGTTCTTGAATGGTTTCTCAAACATCTTTTCTAAAGTGACAATTTTTTAAAACTAATCATGATTGGGGATGTACAGAGTGTATACTGAATACACAAATACCAAATTAACCGTAACATCACTGGTTTTTTTTCCTGATTTTTTTTCCTGACAAACTAGCTTATCATGAAGCAGTCAATGCATGATTCCTTGTGAGATGAATTTCAACATTTAACAGTGAATTTGAGGGAGAAGAGACGAATCTCCTATGCAGAAGAATTCCAAATAATTTATGTAGCTACTCCACCCTCTGGGAGAGGAAGCATAAGCTCTACTCCTGAAGAGTGGGCTATACACAGTGACTTCCTTCCAAACAAACACTACCATATAGGAAGGGAGGGGAGAAAATGTAGTGGAGAAATCTAACACACACCACCTAAGTGAGGCTATCAAAGTCAACATGAACATTCACGATAAATCATGCTGACATTATGTACCTTGTATATGATGTAATGAAAGTGACACTTCACTTCTGGAATCTTCCTCCCCCAAACCCATAATCACAGTGTAGTCATGAGGAAAATAGCAGACAAATTCTATTAGAGGGACATTTTACAATTTATCGGACCAGATCAGTACTCTTCAAAACTGTCAAGGTCACCAGCAACAAGGAAAGTCGGAGAAAATGTCACAGCCAAGAGGCATCTAAAGACACATGGCAACCAAATGTAATGTGGTATCTTGGATGGGATTCTAGAACACAAAAAAGACATTAGGGAAAAACTAAGGAAATCTGAATAAAGCATGGACTATCGATATTGGTTCACTGATTGTGGCAAATGTACCATACCAATGTAAGATATTAATAACAGGGGAAATTGTGTATAGGGTTATATGGGAACTCTCTGTACTTTCTTCATAATTTGTCTATAAATCAAAAACTTCTAAGCTATAAAGTCGATTATTTTAAAAAGTAAATTTGAGATGATAAAAATATTTGATGTAGAATTATTAGTTAAGAAAAAAAAAGATAGGAATATTTCTTTATCAGGATAGTTCATGTTATGTTTGGCTTTCTGGGACTGGATTCCTAGATAGCAAAGGCATACAGAGAGACTGGGAAAAAAATTTAAAGTGTCTCATTTGTAAACAGAAGTCATCAATTTCACATTGTAATTCAGCACTTCATATATTTCACTGAGTGAAAGGTAAATGTGTACCTTTATACGTTTTGGAAAACATGGCTGCAGTGTCCACAAGAGAGCTTTTTAACTTTGAAAAATTAATTTTGTCCTTGATTCAATGAATAGAAAAAGGCATTATTGCTCTGCAGAACACTTATAACTTATTCTTCAAAATTTACAGGTAATTCCATAAATTATTAAAGTATGCTAAATATAGGCTTAAGATTAAGGCAGTTAGTGGGTCAACAGTTTCAGTAGTTTCAGGCTAGTTTTGAGAAGTTTTGATATCCTGATCAGTTCATGCTCAACCAGATTAGAATAGTAGCTACTGGTTATGTGCAAGGGTTATATATGCATACTTAGTTTAAATAAATGAATGGCATTAAGCACCAAATACTGGGAAATCATATGTTCAACATATACTTCCAACATACATACAAACTAGTACCTGATTTAAGAGCACAGTAGGAGAATTAGCTTTACATTTAAAAAAATCAATCAATATATAATCACACTCACGAGATGAATGAGTGGGAAAAATGTATGCTCCAAATGAACAATAATTTTTAGACAGTCCAACAACTGTCATTCCTACATATAATTCTGTTTACTATAGAGATTACATGGAATCCTAAAATGTCTCCATAGAAGCTTAGATGCACATGACTCTTAACTGTTGATTTAAGTTTGGTTTCCACTTGTGTTTTCCTCTGAAATGTTTAAGTCTTGCTGGAAGGCAGATGTTATGTGACATAATGACACCACTTCATGAAGCAGTCCACTATCTTCTGAAGTCTCTTTGGCTTCTTTCCCTTCTTTCTCCCAAGGGACAAAAGTAGATGAATGTCGCCCAAGGCTGGGTATAAGCAGATCATCTGAAATCTGGCTTAGTGTTTCCTTCCTTTCTGTTTTACACTTTTCATCTTTGGAAACTTCAGGCAAAGCTAACTGGAAATCCAGTTCTGAAGCAGAAGCTGCCTTTTCTGTGACCGCGGGCCCCCTCACATTGTCAACACTGAGGTGTTTTTCATTGTTTTCCTCTTTCAGGATAAACAGAGAATCTGTCCAACCACTAGAGGGAACTCGCTTCCGGGGAGATGGAGGAAGGTGTTTGCCATGAAGGGCACTATCATCTTGCCCGAGATGCCACTCTACTTGGTCACCAGAACCACTGCAAAGTAGGGTCAGATTATTTTCACTAGGTGCATTGGATTTATTCTGAAAGCAGAAACCACAAATTCAGAAAAATTTTAATGAGTCTATAGTATTACTTCAGCAAATTATTTTCCAGTTTGAAATAAGTATTAGTATCTTTCATGGCTGGGAACTTGAAGTTCCTCGCAGAAGAAATATAGCATCAATAGTGACTTCTGAACACCTGCAAATGGCTCTATTAACAAGAAAATATATAAATATATGTCAATAAAGATGAAAAATTAAATAAAAAGAACTTGCCAAGTCCCCTCCCGCCAAAGAACCCAAACAGACCAGCTACCTCGTATAGTCAATGCCAAGTTCTGGAATTACTTACAGTCACAACATGGTTGCCATCATTCATACTTCCATCTCTTGTTTTTTAAAACATTCAGTTCAATTTGTTTAAAACACTGCTCATTTTTAAAGTAATATAATAAAAAAATTACTTGAATTGATACATTTATTAAACACTTTTTTGAAGATCCAAGAAATATAGAAAAAAAAGTAGAAACATTTCAGATCTAAAAAAGTGCCCAAAAAAGACAACTATAAAATCAGATCATAAGAGACTATTATGCTTGATAAAAGAACATTTTTTGATTTTTCTTTTTAAATTCTTTGGTGTTTATTTATTTTGGAGAGAGAAAGACACAGACAGACAGAGTGTGAGCAGAGGAGGGGCAGAGAGAAAGGGAGACACAGAATCCGAAGCAGGCTCCAAGCTCTGAGCTGTCAGCACACAGCCTGATGTGGGGCTTGAACTCACAAACTGTGAGATCATGATCTGAGCCAAAGTTTGACACTTAACCTACTGAGCCACCAGGCACCCCAAAATAAAATTTTTTTTCAATTAATGACAATAACCACTAGAATCAGACACAAAATTGGAAAATACTGGAATTTTTCGTGGTTAAATTTTATATTTTTGAAGATTTGACTACTTACCTGTTTGAGGTTAAACGCTTTGACCAACTAGGACTATATATAACATGAAGCAATTCATAGCAAAGGGTAAGTATGTTTTCATTTGATTTTAAGGCTGAAAAATCAACTAACCGTAGGTTTGTAATCAATATCATCCATTGATCTGAAGAAATCCAAGCTCTTCGCTGCTGCCAGCTTTCCTTGGTCAGAGCTGTGTGTGCTCAGTGTATCTAAGATCTCTCCTAGTAGGTCCATTTCACCTGAGTAAGGAGTCTTTACTCTTGCTTCAACGGAGTCATCGCTTTCATAAAAATCAGCAGAAGCTTCTTCTCCATCTTCAGAGGATAACCTGGAGGAAAATGAAGCACATCCTAGTAGTTACAGTCACGCACACGGCATATGAGAACCTTCCCCCGGTTACATTCAAGCAGTGAGAGAGTCTTAAAACCAAAGTGCTTTTCAGTGGAACAACAGCAAAATGGCTAACTGGTTCATGGTCAAATTCTTCATAGAGATGTGTATATACCAATACAAATATGGGAAATTTTGAGTACATGCACAAAGAAAAAACAAATAGCTATGGGTCCTTAATCTGGAAGCAGAAGCAGGGCTTTTCACACAGTCTAATTCTGTGGGATTTGGGACATTAGCCTTAGAAATAGTAGACGGAACACTTGGAGGATTCGCTATAGCCAAGTTAACTCTCAATATTGGTATGTGGTTTTCTCTTTATTTATTCATTTATTTTAGAGAAGAATGCATATTCCTTTATATAGACAAAGATACACTTAACAGAGAAAAAAGAGTCATTCCCTATGTCAAACTTGTTTAAAAAAATTAAACACCTACTATTATTATTTTCCTTATTTATAGTAAAATTATTTTTAACATTTTGTATTAGAATTTCACCTTCTGGTATCACCATGGACTTAAACCCCTCCTATCCCCGTGACTCAACTTATTTTAATTGACTATTATCACTGTTCCTGCCATTTAACCTGCCCCTCTTTACTAGGTGGGTAGGAGCCTAACTTGGGTGGGTTTCTATCTCTCCTTTAACACTATTCCAGATACTTCTGTAGGCATCATTGTTTTCCAAGAATAAGATATTTCAAGTCTATCTTTCTTCCCATCTCAAGATTCATCCCCCATGAGACTCCACTGAGCACTGGCTCTTTTTGCTGAAGAACACCGTAAGGCAGCAAAATCTGATCTCTAGGACTGTACATTCTTTCAACTATCTTTTGAAATCCTAGAACTCCTGCCTTTCAGCCACAACACTTAGTAGGATTCTAAAATCCATCATGACTTACTTGCTTGCTCTCTCGTCATGGTCGTCATCATACAGAGCACTATCAAGGCTCTTAAGAGGTCTTTTCAAGCGTCCCTAGAGAGGGGAATTGACAATAAAGTGGCATTAGTAGTTTAAATAAGTCTTTTTCATAAATTTTAAAGGAAGAATTTTATTTGGCAAGGAACACTTTTATTGTATGACTTTTTTTAAATTTTATTTTTAATGTTTATTTATTTTTTTGAGAGAGAAAGAGAGAGAGTGCGAGCGGGGGAGGCACAGAGAGAGGGAGACACAGAATCCAAAGCAAGCTCCAGGCTCTGAGCTGTCAACACAGAGCCTGGTGCGGGGCTCAAACCCATGAGATGTAAGATCATGACCTGAGCCGAAGTCCGCCGCTTAACTGACTGAGGCATCCAGGTGCCCCATGACAAGAACACTTTCAAAAGAAATATGCATTAAAGGTTTTTGAATATTACCCAACAACTTGACAAGCTGTTCAGTTATAAGGGGAGGGAATCAGGCAATATTTATGTCAACATTTACAGCTCAAACTAGTAAACAAGAACAAATCACTGGATTGGACACACACACACACACACACACACACTGATTCGGTCTGTCAGTCCCTGGTGTAAAACTACTTGACTTATAATCAATCATGTCCCCATGTACTTATCCCCCAGTTTCTATAAGCTTCAATATTTGCCAATCTTCTTTCTTTTATCCCATCTCTCCAATTATTTTAAAGCCGTGCTCCTCCAAACTGAGTATGCATATAAATCTCTTGGAGATCATGGTGAAAACATAGATTCTGACTCTACAGTGGTTCTTAGGATGAGGCCGGAGTTTCTGCATTTCTAATAGGCTCTCCGATGAAGTTAGGCTGCTTGATCTGCATGTTATTTGAATAGCAAGGCTTTGAACCCAAGCTGGACAACCCATCATTTCACCTGGAAACACTTCATTGTGTATCTTTAACAGATAAGTGCTCTTTAAACACAACCAAAATATCATTATCATACCATACAAATTAATTATTCTTTAACATCCTCTATTCTCAGGCCATTTTCATATTCCCTTATTACCCCCAAAATATTTTAGTTTGTTTATCTGGACCAGAATCTCAACAAGGTTAACACTGTATTTGGTTGATGTGTCCGTCAAGTCTCCTTCAGAGACCATCCGTTCCACTTTCTCCACCCTTTATGCCATTTGTGTCCCTAGACATGTGATTTGATCCTCTTCCTGTAAACTGGCAGTTACCTCTGGAAGCTTGGATAGATTCAGTTGCTGGGTTTTTGTTTTTCTGTTTTGGGCAAGAACATGTTACAGGTGTTGATGTGTTTTTTTACTGCAGCAGATCATTCAGACCAGGAAGCACATAATGTTAAGATGTCTCACTTTCAGTGGCACTAAGATTGATTAATGGCTCCAGGATTCAGGTTGGCTGATACCATCCACTATGAATTTTTGTTCACTTGATGGTTTTAGCATCCCGTGATAATCCTTGGGTAAGTTAACTATACATTAGGGGCTCCAAAATTATGCTTTTCAAAAGCATTTCTTCTATCTTTACTTGTTGGCATTCTACCAAGAATTTTGTCCTATTAACTATTTTGAAATTCAATGTGTACAGGAGAGGTAGAATAAATCCTTGATTCTTTCTTTTGCTTAACAATTTCCAGAGTAATGAGTTTATACCTAATGATCTCTAAAAGCGAGCTGTGAGGGTTTTTAAAAAGGCATCATCATTTGTACATATCTCATATGGCTCAGCCTATCACAGTAGATTCTTCTTGATGTTTGATGTCCCATTATTAAACTATACCATGATTACATTTTAAAAATGGCTCTTAACGTTTAGAGATATAGCTTGAATACTTGCAGGTTAAATGATGTGTGATGTGCTATTGGGTATTTACTTCACAATAATCCAGTGGTGGAGAGGGATCATGGGTGGAGCTGGCACTGAAATAAGATTGACCACACGTTGATAATTGTTGAAGCTGTATGAAAGGTATCCAAGAATTCTTCTAAGTTTTTCTTTACTTTAACATGTTTGAATTATGTTAAGTGTTCTTTCCACAATGAAATAATTTGTTTTTTTAAATGGTCCTATCTTTGATCCAGTGTTAGTCCACTCAGGTTGGCTCTTGTGTCCTTTAAACACAAGTGACCTCAGAGGTTCTTTAGTAAGCTTCTTGCTTTTGGACCAACATAATGTCTCATTTCAACTTATACATTTTTTGCATCAGACCTGGAATCAGTCACTTCCTGTAAGAGTTTTGGTTTCTGTAAGTAGGAAATGGCATATATTTATTTATTTAATTTTTTTTAAAGAAGTTTTTTTTTTTTTAATGTTTAATTTTGAGAGAGAGAGAGAGAGAGAGAGAGAGAGAGAATAAGTAGGGGAGAAGTAGAGAGGGAGGGAGACAGAGAATCTGAAGCAGGCTCCAGGCTCTGAGCTGTCAGCAGAGCCCGACGTGGAGCTCAAACTCATGAACCATGAAATCATGACCTGAGCCAAAGTTGGACGCTAAACTGACTGAGCCATGCAGGCACCCCAGGAAATGGCCAGAGTCTGAGTGCTATAGGTGTCCATGGCTGCAAAGCATCCTTTTGAACGGATGGCAGCAAAACTGAAATTCGGAGACTTTAACCATGACATCACCAGAGAAGTTTCTGTCTTCCAATTCTGATCTCCCAATCTAGATAATTGTTTTCTTCTTTTCCTTCTCCTCTTCTTCCTCCTCCTCCTCCTCCTTCTTTTTAATTTTGAGAGAGAGAGATAGAGACAGCACAAGCAGGGGAGAGAGGCAGAGGGAGAGCAAGAGAGAGAGAAAATCTCAAGTGGCTCCATGCTCAGCGCAGAGTGGGATGTGGGGCTCGATCCCATAACCCTGGGATCACAAACGGAGCCAAAATCAAGAGTCAGATGCTCAACTGACTAAGCCACCCAGGCACCCATGATAGCTGTTTTCTTCTGTTGCAGCCATAAAGAGTAAGCAAATTTCTGGAATTCATAATTCAGGAGTGGATCCCTACTCGTCTCCCTCCTCTATGCCAGTGCTGAGAGTAGTAGAAAGGAAAGAATGTATAGAGAAATATGTTCTTGTAGCCCCTGCTCAGAATGTGTAGTGAGCTTCTCCACAAGTTTGGTTACTAGCTATGTATTTGGGGCCTGTAACTATAATATCATTTTATGACTACAAGTTTAAAGTATATGAGGAAAAGTAATTTGAGGAATGGCCTAGGAACACAACTACCACTTACAATATTATTTCTGTAGGAAAAATACATTTCTTTCCCCTCCCTCCAAAACTCACAAAATATAATTCTTTGTTTCTAAAAATCAGTCATCATTATAACACTGACCTCCGTATAGGCTTAACATTATGCCAGCTAGGGGCCTTGCATTCAATTCTCTCTGAAAAACAAATCAGAACTAAAACCAAACGAAACTATGAGGGAGCTGAGACTTCATGCTGCTATTTAAAAAATAAAAAAATATTGACTATTTAAGAACTAATACAAAATGGGGCACCTGGGTGGCTCAGTTGGTTAAGTGTCCAATTCTTGATTTTGGCTGAGGTCATGATCTCACAGTTTGTGAGTCTGAGCCCCGCTTCGGACTCTGCATTGACAGTGTGGAGCCTGTTTGGGATTCTCTCCCCCCGCCTCCCCGCCCTCTTTGCCTCTCCTCTGCTCACTCTCGCTCTCTCAAAAAGTAAACTAAAAAAAAAACTAAGAGAAAGAACTATTACAAAATAAGATAAATACATAGCTTAATATTTACGTTTGTAGAGTACATTGCAAAGCACTCTCATATACACACACAGTGGGGCTAGGTTCTGGGAATACAGAGCTGAGTTAGGATGAGTCTCTGTCATTGAGTAGCTCAGAGTCTGATAAAACCCATGATAAATTCAGAAGTACGCCACAGAAGCTCCATAATTTGCCCAAGCTCATACAACTTATTGAGAACAGGATAGGTCTTTCTCTCCTGTGTTGCCAATCCCTTGTTCATTTTCTCCCACAAGTTACTTTTATATTCTATCTACGTCTGCCTAGATTCTCGGTTTTTGTTTGTTTGTTTTGTTAATGACAACTTTTTTTTTTATGAAGCTACTTCACATATTTGTGAAACTCATACGTTTGAATTTGGTTTTATATGTCCTAGCTAGGTGACAGTTCTATCAATTTCTACATAGGGATGCCGTTAAATGGTGTATCTTGTGATGAATTTTCACAACAGAGTTAGTTAAAATTAGAATTACAACTGATTAACGTTTTCTTTCCTGTGAGTGTTAAGCTTTGTACTGCGCATATTCTGAGTACACTTTCTTACAAATTGTCTTTTTTTCTTTTAATTTTTTTTCTAATGTTTATTTATTCTTGAGACAGAGACAGAGCGTGAACAGGGGAGGGGCAGAGAGAGAGGGAGACACAGAATCTGAAACAGGCTCCAGGCTCTGAGCTGTCAGCACAGAGCCCGATGTGGGGCTCGAACCCACGGACCGCGAAATCATGACCTGAGCCGAAGTTGGACGCTCAACCGACTGCGCCACCCAGGCGCCCCTGTTTGTCTGTCTTAAACAAGTTTCTAATTAGCAGTTGCTGACTATGTATCAAGCAGTAGGGACTGCAGCCTCTGCATATGAAATGACAACGTCCAGACACATAGTGAATATGTCAACTGCTTGATGACATCAAATTACGTAATTTGTTAAGGTCACACACCCACAAAAGAAAAACAAAAGGAGAAAAAAGCTCCAGTTTGATTCATATGCAAGATAGAGAAAAATGGCAGCTTATTTAGCAAAAGCATCACCAGTTTCTGAGCTTTTATGAACCCAGTTTATCCCTATGTTACTGTTTCTGGTAGACTGGAACTCAGGGATTGTACTTTCGGGGGAAATAAAGGATTTTTTCCACTATACCCAGAACATACAACACTGGGCAAAAAGACCCGGTCACAGTTTTGTAAATAGAAAGCTTTTATCGATAATAGGTAGCAAATAAGCTTAGACTGCAGAAAATATATTACGTATTCTTTAGGATCTAATACATAGCCATTAACAGCACATCTTTAC